AGAGAAGGAGTAGGTAGGGCGGGAGCGAGTGAGAGACAAGCGAAATGTTTGTTAAAGTGAAATTAACGTCGCCATCTAACAGGCTACCAATCAACAATGCCAGCTCTCTGTGTGCCCCAAAGACTACTGAAAAACTGAACTGAACTCAACTGAGCAGAGCTGAGCCACCACGCATGCGCCGCCACAGCGATCATCATCTCTGTCTCTGTCTCTGTCTTGCTGTCTTTGGCTGTGCCTCTGCTTTGTGGCAGACAGGCAGCAGCCTTTCAGTGGCATGCAGTTGTCGCCAGTCGCACATTTTCCGCGTGGCTTTAGCTCTCTTCCAAGACAAGAAAAAGCCAAACCGAAAGCAAACTAAAGCCAAAACCAAACTGAAGACTGAAGGAAATGTTTGCTGTACTTAAGCGAAAGAAATTTGTAACTTTTGCTTGAAATAACTTGAGAAACAAAAGCGTGACCATATGGAGGGGGGCTGCAGTTGCATTAGGGTCCAAACTGCATTCTCATTTGCGTTGCCAAACATCTGGCTGAAATCTTGATGGCCTCCGTAAGGGTATATTGTCGTAGCAGACCCAGCCCAGCCAATGCTGAATGCACTTAAAGAGTCACCCCTCCCCCACACCCCGCTTCCACCATTTACTGATGTGCGTTTTGGGTTTCCGAATGAATGAAATTCGATCGTTTTATTAACTGTACATTTTGCATGATTTACTGCCATAATACACCCCTATCCTATAACCCCCTATCTATCCTTACCAACGAAGAAAACATTTTTGTTTTTAATTTTCCACTGCATTTTCTTGTCGTTTGCTGTCCATTAACCTTCATTAGGCTTTGGGGGGGCTATTAACACACCAAATTGTGAAGCGAAGCCTCTTTCCCCTTCTCCATCCAGAGCACTCTTCCCCCAGCCTGCCGCTGTCATTGCGTTTGTCCATTTATGGATTGGCCTGCATTGACAATTTCTATCAACGATTGCACACGAATTAAAGTTTATTTATTTATTTATTTGCTTCTCTTAATGAACTGTGTGAAACAGTTTTCGATTGCCGTACGGACAGACAAATTGCCAGGCACCAGCACCAGGCACCAGGCACCACACAACCACCCACCCACCCAAGCCACTGAGCCATCGAATGCATTCGACAAAAGCTGCCACGCAACTTGTCCGAGTATCGGTTTTGGTCTTGCTTTTTGGCCAAGCCAGGCCAGGCCAGGCCAAGGCGCACATTTTTGTGTGCAGCAGCGCAAATTGTTATTGCACAATTTTTCGTTGGCTTTTTTTTTCCTCTGTCGATTTTCAATTTTCGGACGGGGGGGAATGCAACGCAATAGCCGACACTCCGACAGCTGGAGTGGAGTGGACAAAAAGACAAGCAAAATGCGCCTAATTGTCGCTCTTTCAGTTGTCGCACATAACACTTTGTTTTTGCTAATTTCCTAACGCTTGTGTGCTTAGCCAAAATGCATTTTTAACCAGTTTTTAGATGCGAGACAATAGTTAGAGTGAAACTGAAAGCCACACATCTGACAACTGAGACTTTTGATGGTTGCTGCTCAAACAGAGAAGAAGCTTTAAATGCTGAGGATATCAATACTGAGTTTATTGGTTCTACAAAAGTAGAACTATGTTCTGAGGAATCTGCAAATATTCAGAGCATTGGGGCTTTAACAGCTGGAAATGCTGCTGAGCTGTGGAGCTGCGGAGCTGTGGAGCTGTGGAGCTGGAGGTTCCATCTTTTGGCACGTGACTGCCGTTCCTTTATGGCTAAACGGGATCATCATTATCAAGTGACTCACTTTTGACACAGTTGCAGTTACAGTTTGTTGCCCTTTGTTTTGGGGCTGCAGCGAATCATCTTTAGCGCCTTAACACTGCCCCTGCTTCTTCTTCGTACTGGCAGTGACACCACAACCGTTATAATTGCATGCCTTGGCACTGGCCATTATCTAACTAAGGCATCAATCTGAGCCAGCCACACAGAGTCGGAGAAGAAGTCCAGAGCCAGAGCCACACAATTGCAAATTGCAATTGGCCTAAGCAATTACCAAACAGGGGAAAAAAAATGAGAGCAGCACAAGAACAGTCTAAAACATGTTTTCAGAGCAGAGCCGAGCAGAGCGTTAGTTAGATCGGAAAAGATCCAGGCTGGCTGGCTGATTATGCAATTGAAAAGATCTGGGCTGCAGTTGCAACGCCGCATCGCATCAGAGAGCAGCAATTGTTGTGGCATTTAAATCATTTTTAATACCCAAATTTAAAGCGAAATAATCATAAATAACTGGGTTAATTTGTAACGCTCCCATGAATGCGTAATGATCCATTCAGCCAACCTTCCCCACCACCCCGATTAGCAACGGCGGGGCCTATGAACCTAAGTCCCCACAGAGTTCTTTGACACCATTTTTAAGGCAGAGCAGAGTGGAGTAGAGTGAAGTTTTCTCTTGATAAATATGCAAATAAAACTGAAATTCAATTAACGCTGTCATATCAAAGAGAGGGCCAAGCTAGAACCCGCCAGATACGTTTTGTATATGGTCATGGATCGTAGTATATAGTACAGTCGTAGCTCTCCGCTAGTCAGAGAACTGCTGTCAAGTTCAAAGTTATAAATGTGCCAGGGAGCGTGCGGAGTTTATTTAATTTCGATTCCAATTCCGATTCAGATTCGGTTTGGAGTTCGTGTTCGTGGCCAGCATACGTGAAATCGGTTCACAAATCTGTTTTTTATTTATTTTTATTTTTTTGTGATGGAGATTTGTATTTCCTGCCCTGCATTTGAAAGTCAGAGTCTCCGTCTCCGAGGGGGAGAACGATTCTGTCATTGACTGGGGCCTGGGGATCAATTACCTTTCGAAACCAATTTGCATTTGAAATGCATAACGAAATCGTGTGCACACAATATTTTGGCAGTGGCAGTGCTGCAAGGGAGATTTGCCAGTTGCAACTGAGACTGAGACTGAGATTGAGACTGAGACTGAGAGTCACAGTTCGCGCCGACGCCGCCGCCGCGGTGGCTGTTGCATTGTTTGCCAGCTGATTGGCAGGCTTTCAAATTTTTGTATCAACTTGGCAAAATGGAAATGGAAAATGCAGGTGGCTGTGGCTCCCACACAGGCAGACAGTCAGACAGTGAGACAGATAGTCATGTAGTCATGCAGTCTGCCATTCAGGCCTCTTTTGGTCGTCTTATCTCCCTTTTGGCAGTTGCTCATTATTGTTGCAAGTTGCCTGCTGCCTGTTGGCTGATGGCTGTTGCCTGTTGGCGGCAAAAGGTGTGTCAGTAGTTGCAACTGCCGTTTGCTTCTGAGGCAAAATCCAATCCAATCCGATCCACTCCAATCCACTCCAAGATCACGTGGCTCTGATCAATAAGCTCTAGGCACGCAAGCACTCCACTTCAGACGAGCTCTGGGCTCTGGTCTCTGGGTTTTTGGTCTCTAGTCTCTGGGCTGTGAGCTGTGGTCTGTGGGTCCGAGTGGAGTTCATCTTTTGGCTCTATTGGCTCTGGCCAAACACACAAAATATGGGTTAATGCGGCCCCAAAGGAGTTTTGTCTTATTTTCATTGTTGATTGAGTCTGCTGCGCATTTCTTTACTCTTACTTTTGATTAGGCCATGAGTCTGCAGTAATTTGCGGATTAATTCTTGAAAAGTAAATCTTGTGATGATTTGTCAACTATTCGAGGGGCTGGACTGGGCTGGGCTGGCTGGCTGGCTGGCTTTTCTTCTTTAACAATTTGGGTTATCCAAACACACTCTCGAATGGCTTTCATTTTCAGAGGCAGCAGCATAAAAAGATATTGTGTAACATTTCTCCCATGCCAGACATCGCAGTTTTTATTGGATTCTTGCATGCAACACTTGTGTGCAACACTTGCAGCAAATTAACAGTCAGCTCTCCATGCCACGGCAATGCATTGTAAATTATGACGGGCTGTCCATAATTAATCAAAGCGCTAGGGCCGCCGTCTGCTGCTGCTGCTGTGGCAATTGCCGGCTGCCATTTAGTCTCAATTAACACACGCAAATTAGCCGAAGCTGACAGACAGTAGGGGTGCCTGGGTGCCGGGTGCCTGGGTGCGAGATATGCCAGATATGCATTTGAAAGTAAAAACAACTCCCTCCGCACCTACCGGAATTTGTTATACATTTTATTATGCCCAATACCAGATGCATTGTTTAGTGGCTGCTGCTGCTGCGGCCAGTGCTGATGGCTGGCCTTTTGCGTCGCTCAACCAGTTTAGAAATTCTACTGGTTTTGAGTGACGGCCATGGCGAAACCTGATGTGCCACATCAGGCGATTTGTATTCCAAGTGACGTCTGGTTCCGTTGGCTGCCCAGGCGGGAGCAGAGTAGTAGCTGTACTCCCCGTACATACGAATCCCCAATGTCAGCTGATTGAATTGCAAACAAGAAACGAGGAAGGAAGAAAGGAGGTAGAAAGAAAGATCACCTTAGCAAAACAACATTGAAGAACTGAAAATTGTGCAAGTTGTTCTGCAAGTTATATGAGACATTTTGCAATCTAGGCGGGGGGGTATTGGGGGATGTCTAACCAGTCATCGTGTCATACCCATCGTCAGCGTCATCGGTTGGAGCTGTCTTGGCCTTGTACTTCCTGAACGTTGGGTTGACCAATCTCGCTGTCGCATTCTGCGGCTCATCACCCGCTAATTTATGCCGCATTGCCGCATATCGATTTGAGGTTGTTTTCCAAGCAAACGAAACTGGTCGGATGTGTCCATATACTCGTAGCTACTACCTGCTTTAAGCAGGGTTTGCTCAACACCAAATTTATGCATTTAGTCAACACATTTATCATGCAAAAAAGATACAACTCGAAATTAGCATTTGGCGTAGTGCGTGCCAATATTTTAGGTATGACAACAAAAGCTAATCCACAACACAACACAACCTAGTCCATCCCCATCCCATCCCCATCCATTGATTAGTTGACAAATAAACTAAGCGAACTTTTTGTTTTTGGCTTTCTCTTTGCAGTCGTCGCTGCCAGGTTTTTGGAGTCGGACATTTTTGCATGAAAATTGCAACCAAAAAGGTATGTAGCCGATTTCTTAATTAACTCAATGAAAACTTTCGCAGCGGACAAAGGGGGGTGCCAGATATGCCAATACATATCTGAACAAATATGCCAATTAAGTTAATAAATATTTGCCATCTGCCGATGTCAGTCGCCAGCGAACGCTTTTGACACCCAAACAGCAATAAAGATTTCCAAAAATGCTTTTATGTATATTTTACAAATGGCAGAAGAGAAGAGCGCCAGAGCGCTCCGGCCCGAACAGGCTCTGGCAACGCGGATCGGATCGAATCGGATGGGATCGGCGCGGCGCTCAGAAATCATTTATGTTAATCAACACATGTTTTTCGAAGTCATTGGCCAGGCCGGAGATCTGGGAATTTTTTTCCGTTGACTGCCTATCTATCTAAATATACCCTTGCAGAGGAGGGTATAATGAAGTTTGAAGAGATGCCGGCGCACGTAGAAAAATATGTAGATCCTATGGGATAGCTTCTTTTACTCGGCAGAGACGGCTCTCAGCAAATATGCACCTAAGAATGGGGCTTAGCTCTCCTTAAAATGTTGGATCTGCAAGGGTATATCTCGTTTCGACCATGAATCTCTTTTCTATATATTAAAATGCCCAAATATCCAAAACAAAATAAACATATACAGAAAACGTGTTTACCCCTCAATGTGTCGCGTTCCGTTCCTCCCTCTCTCTCACCCAACACCCTCACTGTGTCGCACAGAAACAAAATTCAAATTCAAATTCAAATTGTGCCCCGCTGAAATTTGCGCTAATGTTGCCATTTGTGTTGTTGCTGTTGGGGCTGCTGCTGGGGCTGCTGCTGGGGCTGCTGCTGCTGGGGCTGCTGATGCCGCTGGGCCCATCTGAAGCTTCTCGTGTGTGCTAAGGCTGTTGTTGAAGGTGTACAGTGTGTACACACACACCATCGAGTTATTTTTGGTATGCCCCAACGCTACTCCACCACTGTACGTACACATGTGCATATATGGCCGCCCCATGCCGAACAAGATTGCTGCTCCGCACTGGAACCCCAACCACGCTGCTGCGGGTTTTCTTTTCTAATTCTTATGCAAATATGCAGTGCCTCCGACGGGACGCGGCATGTCATGTAGCTTCTGTTGCTCTCCAACTGTTTGCATTTCAATCGCACAAGCGCACACCATTTATTTTTCGATGTTCGAATCGGAATTGCACACGGTTCGGTTCGGTTTGGATTCAAATCGATTCTCGTGAGGCTTTTATGACTCAAAATGTCAGGCATTTCGGAATCGAATTCGCATTCATTTCTAAACGAGAAAACAACTTTTCGGCAACCAAAAAACCAACCGGCCACGGGGTTAACAAAACTGATAACTAACACTTTTTAAACAACCATAAATGACAGAGTCAGAGACAGAGACAAACACAGAGGACAAAAAGCGATAAAGATGGTGACGAGAATTTCTTGAGTAGAACGGAAATCAGAGCAGGGCGAGAGAGCGAGAAACAGAACCCACAAAAGGTGTTCACAAATATATAACGAATACATTGCGAAAATGACTCACAAAGCAAGTCATTCTGGTTGTTTGCCCCCTATTCGTACTGGAAACCGCATTGGAAACCCGAAGTTGAATCAAATTGGTTTGTCATGAGACTTCAAAGAATCGAGCCACAGAGATGAGCACACTCAGACACAACGTTGATCGGTCCCTTTCCCTAGGTTTAATGGCCTTAATGTTCCTAAATTGCAGCTCAAAGTGGGTACTGAAGTGTCGTTTTTCCCCCAGCCAACCATAAAGCCAATCCAAACATGTCTCTCTCGCTCTCCGCTCTCTGTCTCCGCTCCCTTTGCTTGATTTGCTTTAATCTTGTGATTTGTTTGGGCTATGCCGCCGCCCAACCAATCCACATCCCAGCATGGCTTCCTTCTGCGTTAATTGTGTGCCTGCACACCACACAGCACACTGAAGAGCTGCTTATGAAGCCAACATGCAGAACGAATCCAATGGACGTATGGACATTATTTTATAGTCTCCCTTTATCCCGTGCCGGGCACTACATAAACTCACACTTAAAATCAATAAACGTAAGTTGGCCAACGCCCGGCTCAGCTCGGCTCGGCCCGCCCAGTGCACAGTTCCAGTGCCAAATTGCATTCGACATGTGTAGCCCATAAAACTATAAAATAGCACAAACTTATGCCCCCACAATAACCATAAAGAACGGACTAGCCCAGCCCTAAAAATGATCTGCCAAAAAACCACAAACACCACAAGGAAAGCAAAGATAATGCCGAAGCTGCGATCCTACCTAGGGCAGGACAGGGTATGGGTATGGTTATGGGTATCTGTATCTCCTTCTTATAGAGTTGTTGGTACATGCGTAAACAAGTATTTTTATGGTCTCCGACGACCCCCAAAGGCATAAAAGGATGCCCATGCCCGTTGGCTTTGGACCAGGTCGGGGGATACGGCCATAAAGCCACTTAATTGCCATTTTATTACTGAAGCTATTAGGCCACAGCCACAGTCGAGTGCCGGAGTCTGCCCGTCCGTCCGTCCGATTGTCTGTCTTTCATTAGAAGGAGCGCTGCTGCAGTTCCTGCTTGCAGTTCATTTTCGCATCCGTCTGCATTGGAGCATATTGCACCACATTTCCACTGGGGCAGGAGTCTGCAGTGTGTTCAGTTTGCAGATCTCACTCTGTTCTCTGTTCCTTTCTGTGGCTGCCACATGCAAAGTGGACTCGGCGCTGCTTAGTGCTCCCTTCAGCGACTGCTTTGCAGTTCCATCCGGCTATATCTTTAATGAAATCTGCATGTTCTGCGCTTTAACAAGCATTTTGCTTGTCTACTCATGTCTCCTCCTCTCCTTCCCCATCCCCTGCGCTGCTCTGCTCTGCTCTGCTCAGCTCTCAGACTCTTTCTATTTCTCTGGCCCTATCTATCTATCTGCATCTCTTCTGGCCGTGTGCCATTGCAATCCTTTTGTTGGGTCTCGTTGGGGGTTCCTCGATCCGATCGCAGAGCTGCAGCGGCAACATAGTTGCCTGTGTTGCCGGGTAAATCTTGTTAGCGTAAATATTAACTTGTAAATATGATGATGCCCCCATGGAAATTGTATGAATTGCTGATAAATATCATTACGTAGCAGTCCCGCTCTCTCTCTCTCTCTCTCTCTCTTCCGTCTCTATCCCTATTGTATCTGTATCTGCGAGTATCTGTATCTGTGTGTTTGTATTGCATTTCGCCTTGCAATTCTATTACGATTTTTATCTAAAGTGCTTGTACAGCCCAAGTATTTGTTGTGAGTGGACTCGTACTCCTACTCCTACTCCTACTCGTACTCGTAATTGTTTAGCAAATCAGTTGAGAGAGCTGAAAGGTTTCTTTGGTTTTGCTCTCTCTCTCTCTGGCATTGCAATGATTGTTGTTATTGTTCGTTGCCTGATTACACAGTAGTAACTGACAATTTGCCATCGATTTTCGTTGTTTTTGTGTTGCATTATTTGGAGCCCGTACCCCCCGACTATCAGTAACAGTTGCTGACGTCGTCTTTGCATCGCTTTGCTACTCCTTAATCATCATAATTCCAAGCAGACACAGCACGCTTTGGGCTCGTAAATAAACATCCAGAAGAACCCACAGAAACCCACAAACAAACTTTCATGAATAGAACTGAGAACAGAGTCAACCAACTCTACTCTGATGTAAGAAAGAGTAAGAGAGAGAGAGAGAGAGAGATCGTTGCATGCCACCACAAAGACGTGACAAATACCCTAAACGAGCTACTTTAAAGCGTGGGAGCTGCGCTGCATTCATTCTTATTCATTCCCTGGGAATGCAATACCCAGCTGGCGCCGTGTCTCGCTCTCACTCTCTGTCTAGCCCTGGATAAAGTCACTTGGCTGCTCATATTTCCACGAAACGTGCACATCAACTTCCTACTACTCGTACTCCCCCACAAAAAAACATGTGGATAGTATGGGTTACATCTAACCCCAGCCCCACCCATACAACCCATCCAACCCAGGGATGGTCTGGCTAATCAAAGCCTCTCCCCGGGGGGTCGGCTCTGCGGTTGCTTCTTCACCTCCTCCTCCTTCTCCTCCTCCATTTTCCGGTAGTAATTCCAAGCACTCAACGCAGCCAGCGGGCCAGCAGAGCGACACAGTTGGACATATTCCGCTGTCTGGCGTGGTGTCTGCTCCAGTTTTTCCCCTCCAAAAAAAATAAAACCAAAAAAATTTACTAAATTGGAAACTCCAGTCTCTGGCTGGACGCACGCTGCGTATGCGTATTATGTTCACAAGAGTTCAATAAACGATTAGAGGCGGTCCGACTCCGAGTGAACGGTTCTAAGCGATTGTCGTCTGCCCCGCTCTAGCAGTGGATAGTCGGAGGCTAGGTCCCGGTCCCAGTCCCACTCCCAGTGCCGGGTTGCGTGTGCGTTCGCGTTTGCGTCTGCCAAAGTTATCGCGGCTTTTTACACTAAGACGAAGGCTAATATGTCATTTGGTCATTGATACGAGCGACGACGTTCGATCGGCTATGGCGAAGAGCCAAAGAGAGAGAGAGAGAGAGAGGGAGAGCGGAAGAAAGAGAGGGACACTCACTGCCTGGCCACGGCACAGTGTGCGGGGCAACCAAAGCAAAACGCTTACTGTCAGTGTGAGGCGCGTATAATTAATTGCTCCTATCAATATCGCTGTTGTTGTTGCTGTTGTTGTTGTTGCTGTTGCTGCGTTGTTGCACGCATGTGTATGACCAAGAGTCCCCCTGGCTGTGTATTGGATCTGCCTCTGATGCTCCATGTGGCCCCCATGGCCGTTGGCGGCACCCAGCAGCAGCAGCCGCAGCAGCTCATTGAGATAAGCCTGTCCGTTTATGCGATTTTTTGTTTGGATTTAGCATAAATCATGTGCCCACCCCCCCTGCATCCCACCACGCCAAATGTTATGTCAGCATCTTTTATAAGGCTGACACCAGCCAGCGAGGAAAGTTGTGTTCTATGACGCCAAGAAGCCA